ATTGCAATTGCAGCTCTCCACATCCTTGAAACCGTGGCCTCGATGGTAAGCCTCGTTCTGATCTTCTATCTTAGCTCACAGCCAATGGCAGCAAGAGGTTCCACGCAACTGCATTCCAGTTCACCGCCCCCCGAATTAATGTGGCTCGTCGCCTATATTTCACGCCTCCTGCTCCCGTATTCGATCTTCGTGCTCGACACTACACTGACAACCACATCCTGACACTGGATGGCAGCCTCATCTCGTTCTAGCCAGTATCTCCATGATCATTTCAATGAACGAGCGGAACGAGTCAACAACCTCCAAGCGGAGGTGAACCGGCTTCAAGACGAAAACAAGATCCTTCACATCAAGCTCGCAGAGGAGAAGATTAAAACACAGGGACTTAAGGCATCGGTGAAGGCAATGAAGTTATGTCTAAACAGCTTGATGGGCACTGCGGGTACGTCCATGCGGACTAGTGATGGGTTCGGTAGTACAGAGGTTACGACAGTGAGTCTTTTTACTGGCGATACTCTATTCGACTGGCAACTTATCACTTCTTTCAGGATGAGCGCAAGCGAGGACGGGTCGATGACTCGCATCAGCAATGAAGCAGAGGTCTGTGCGTACTCTTTTCCAACTCTGGGTGAAATATTTACACAGGAAGAGCCTGCAGACTCCTCCAATTCTAGTACTGTTGTCCCCACAGCGGATCTTGGAATCCCCTGTCTTGCTCTGGCACGGATGGAGGCCGGTTAAATCCGAAAAAATGCGAAAATATTCAGAGGAGGTCCTGGAAAAGGAGGGACCCCCCAAGAATATTTTGGGAATAAAATGAATTTCGCGGGTGCACCATGGGGCATCATGCCCGTCGCATCGCCCTTAGATTTGACTCGTCTGTCTCCGGAATTTGCCGCCTTCCTCTCTTTTCAGCCGCCACCTTCCGCACTGATGTTGCGATGGTGAGCAAAGGGGTCGAGATAGATGTCTCACCGACCTTCGCCTGCCAGCTTCTTATTCTCTCGATCTGGCTGTCTGTGTCTCTGTTTGTCTTTATGTTCGTCTCTTCGTCAATCGTTTCATCTTGATCTTAGTGCTCGGACTGTGCTACGCTCGGTAACTAAGGCAACAGTGTGTATGTTGGCTGTAATATTCCTAGGGTATCGTCTAATCTGGGTTCGTTCTCCGCCCCGGTGTGGGTTCTCTTATATTTTGGTAAGCTATGGTGACTGCCTGAATCCAAATAACTCGGGGAATTTTCCGCAGCAGAATGAAAAGGTACGAGAGTTTGAACCCGCAGGGATCCTCCCTCGTGAATCCGTTCGTGATCGTTCATTTCACGCCCGATGTTGGACGCTGCGGGCCCCAAACGACGACAGGAATGTGATCAGTCAGCACCAATCACGATTTGAACAGAAACCGTTCACAAAACGTTCATAGCAAGGATAAACATGTCGGTGAGTTTTATCTTCCAATAGTTCATCCACAAACATATGTTCGTGTTCGCTCGATATCGGTTCGATTTCTAACGTTATGGGCTCCAAATGACGGGACGGGCCAGGAGCATTGACCCCAATAAAGGTTGAATAGGAAAATTCCCACCGATCATCGATAATAAGGACGATAACGTTGGTACGTTCTCGTCTCCCATATACCTGTCTCGAAAGTTTGTTCGCATTTGCTCAATTCCTTCTCGATTTTCAATGTAGTGGGCTCAAAATTACGGCATGACGTAGCTATATCAACGCCAATAAACATTTGGCAGGACACCGGCCACTCATTCTTGAGAACGAGGCAGAATTGTATTGGTGAGTTTTCGCTCCTAACACCCCTTCTCGAAAATGTCTTCGCATTTGCTCGATTATCGTTCGATTTTCAATGTAGCGGGCTCGAAATGACGGGACGACGCAGGTGCACGAGTCGCAATAAAAGTTTGGAAGGGAACGGGCCAATCAACGGCGAGAACAAGATGAAACACATGGCGAGTTTTCGCCCGTAACATCCTTTTCCGAAAATGTGTTCGCGTTGGCTCAAATATTTCCCGATCTCCAATGCCATGGGCTCGAAAGAACGGCATAGATAAGGTCCATCATCTCCAGCGAATATTTTGAGAGAAACAACCTACACGTCATCTATAGCGAGCACCAATAGCGAGATGAGTGTCACAGTCTCATCACCCCCCCTCCTCAAAACCCGGCTCGCTCTCGCTTATTATCGGTTCGTTCCTCAAGGTAAGTAGCTCAAAATAACGGCCTGCATATGGGCTATCGATTCTCGCTCCCTGTTCTGCGCACTACCGCTGCAAACGGACGTTATCGATGCCAATCTCCAAGGTGAGTCATGGCCCCAAAATGTTCCTCTTCGAATTTTTGTTCGCGTTTGCTCATTTGCGGTTTGATTTGGCTTTATGTATGCTCAAACTGACGGGAACGGTCAATCGTGCCTGCGGCACACAAGGTTTGATGTGAATCGACCCGGTAATGAGAGAGATAGAGAGGGTTTGGTTCGGTAAGTTAGGTCCCCCAACCCTCCTTTGAATATTTACTCGCATTCGCTCAATACTGGCTCGATTTCCATCGATATCAGCTCTATCGGACGGGTTGCATTGGACGTACTCAGCTCCATCCAGGTTTTAAGAAAAACGGCCGGGAAATGGTCGAGAGCGAAGCATTTTACCTCAGTGTGTCATCCCCACCAACCCTCCCTCCTCCAATATCATCTCGCGTTTGCTCATTTCTCGCTCAATCATCGTCGTCTAGGGCTCGATAGAACGGCAAGGGTCCGAATAGACTAACGCATCGAAGGTTGGGGCCAAAACTATGGTGCATTGACCAATTTAGACGACATTGTCGCCGGTGATTTACCCCTCAGCTATTTGCCTCACAGAAGATCACTCATAACTTCTTCGATATCGGTTCAAATCTCGACGTTGCGGGCTCGAAATGACGGGAGGAATGTGCGCTATCATTCGCGCACTTGATACAAATCAATTGGCGGAGCCATTGTCGAGAACGACGACGATCGTTGGGGTAAGTCGTGTTTCAATATCTCTACCTCCAAAATATTGTTCTAACTCATTCAGTTTCCGTGCGATTCGCGTCGTGTTGAGATCGAATGGATCGCATTCATGACTGCTTCCATCCCCAGCACTTGCCTCGTCTGAGATAACCTGTTCGCTGTCGATAATGACAGACTTGAAGTCGGGCCTTATCCATGGTGCGCCAGTCTTCCAATAGCTTCACTTCTGGGCAGTACGGTATCGCCAAAGGCGATACAACACGCGGTCATTGTTGTTCTCGTTCTAGAACATGATCAAGCCCATCTAGAAACCGGGCCGTCCAAGTGCGTGCTGCAGCGGTTCTCCAGTGCACTGTGTCGCCAATGGCGATGCTACGCCCCGAAGTAGTGTTCACGGTCTTGAAGCTTCAAGATTGCAGGCTGGATGCTGACCATTTAGGAGGGTCATCTTATATGTCCCTTGTGCGCTGTGTCGTGTCGCCATAGGCGATGCTCTAGCCTAGCAGTTGCTCACGTTACAAAACCCGCTATCTAATTTTTGTCCCACACAGACTCACCAGAAGTGATGTGATGCTGGCCGTAGTAGTGCATCGCAGCTCAAGAGGTCTCGAAGCACTCATTGAAAAGCTGTATGGCCGGGTAGTACGACGCTGCGCCCCATGGCGCCGTATCGCCAAAGGCGACGTTCAGACATATGATCTGGGCACAGTCAACACCACAACATTATTTCCAGCTGTGAATTCATCCGTTCTCGGTCAAATGCAGGTGTATTATTGACACAGTGAGCTCTACCAACACACCTTTATGCCCTCCACTGCCCCCGGTATCTTGTTTGATGAGAAACTGTCCGGTCACCGTCGAGATCGTCGATCTGAAATTGGTGAGTACCCCTCATCAATCGTGAAACCACTCGTTCTCCGCCAAATGACCGTGCGTTTGTGCCGTAGTGGGCTCTATCGACGCGCACAAGTGTCCTCCATATGTCCCTGTAATTTGTTTCATGCAAAACGGTTCCATCACTGTCCAGAACGACGGTCTCAACTTAGTGAGTACCCCTCACCAATCGTGAAATCGCTCGTTCTCAGTCAAATGATCGTGTGCTTTCGAGGTAGCTGGCTCTATCGACGCGTACAGACTACTTACATATGACCTGGTATTTGGTTTGATGCGAAACCATCCACTCGCTGTCGAGAAAGACGATCTGAACCCGGTGAGCATCCGCCTACTAACTCTACAATCACTCGTTCTCGGTCAAACGACCGTGGTTTCTCTAAACAGTGGGCTATTTCGACATACATCAATGTCCTCCACTGCCTCTTACCCTTTGTTTCATGAGAATCAGCCCATTCGTTGTCGAGAACGACAGGTTTCGAGCCCATCGCGCCAACCTAAGTGCTCCCTCCTGCTCAGTGCGCACAGCTGCCCTGACGTGCGAATACGTAGGCAAGCCGCGGTGCCGCATGGTATCGCCACAGGCGATTCACCCAATACAGAGCTGGCCGGAAAGCTGCGTGGCTGCGTTGTGTTGCCACTAGCGATACACTAGAGCACGGGTGCTGCAGCCTGCCTGGCAGCTTTGTGCTGGAGTATCGCCCGTGGCGATATGACTCAGTGTGGTAGGTATCCTGGCTGTTGTGCAGCGGCGTATCGCCTATGGCGACACTACAGTGTCGCAGCCTTCCTGCGAGCCATGTGCTATTGCCACAGACGATACCTCAGTGCATAGTTGCCAGGAAGGATGTAGCGCTCACACCAGGCATCAACCTATCTTGGGCGGACCGATGAGCTTCCAATAGACCACGCCCAGCGCAAATTCTAGATCGAACTCGGTGAAGCCGTATTTCGCAGATATTTTGAGACTTCGGGTGAGCTGATCACACGAAGGTATTTCTAATGCTGGAAACAAAGGGAATGATTAGAAAAGGTCCGTTACAGCATATACAGAATCAGTGGCGTCCTTTCTGGTGTGTACCAGAATTTCACATTGGTCCGTAAAGAAGTTGTGTCTGAGGCCAGTGAAGAAATCTTAAATACCGGACCACATTCCGCCAAATTTGGCGGAAGTTGGTCTGAAATTTGAAGTGCATGGCGGAAAGTGTGCTGAAACACGCCGAAACTTGAAGTTGGTGGCGGAAAGCAAGCGGAAGAGTATCCTATATTTGGAATTTCTGCCACGCTGATCCACGCGGATCGACGCGCGCATACCTCATTGCATCTTTGTTCCAACCTGACCGAATGCAGCGGAAATCTCATAGAACATCCTCGTCGTGGCTGGATTGTTTCCTCAAAGGTATTCAAAATTTTCCGCTTTTTCCGCTTTGAGGGGAATATCGAGGGCACCGCGCGGATACATCATGTATCAACAATTTTCCCCACAAAGTGGTCCTATCTTGTATTTGCGTTGGCCGCAAACAATCCGTCGCCGGTCCGCCAGGTCGAAAGGAATTGATGCCTGCTGTGGCTGTGCCGTGTCGCCATAGGCAATACGCTGATGCGGAGCTTGTGCGGAGCTGGCTGCGACGCCATGTCATATCACCTCAGGCGATACAGCGCGCTGGCAGGAAGGCTGTTATGCCGTGCCGTGCCATATCGCCACAGGCGATACGCTGGCGTGGCCCGTCTCCAGCACCATTCTCACTGACTCCTGTGCCCTCTGCTTGCCTTACTGCTATCTGTAACCCTAAGGTAGGGTTGGACCTAGGAAACCTAGGAAGCAGTGTTTGCTTCTCATAACCTAACCT